GGCCACGACACGCCACGACACGCCACGACACGCCACGACACGCCACGACACGCTACGCCACGCCGCGATGCTTCGCAGCACCCCACAACACGCTTCAACACGGCGCAACGCGCTACGACACGCCGCGAGATGTCATGACATGCTAGAGCATGCCGTGCCACGCCACAACACGCCACAACATGCCACAGCGCTCCGGGACATGCTCCAACACGCTACAACACCCCGCGCCATGCCACAACACACTGCAACACGTCACAGCACCCCACAACATGCCACAACATGTCACGACATGTCACAACATGCCACAGCACGCCATGATGCATCACAGCACACCCCGGCGTGAAGCTACACGCTATGACACACCCCAACACGCCAGGACACGCGTGTGGCAACCGTGGGGGCTTCTCTGAGCCCCTTTTGGGGCCATAATGGCTCCAGCTGCATTTTTTTCCCTGATTAAGGCAATTTTAGCCCAAATTTGTGCCCTGAGGGGTGGTGCCGGGGGGGGTCAGAGGGGGCAGGGAACCGACTGCACCCAGTTTTGGGCGCATTTGGGTTCACCCGGGCTTTGGGTGCTCACGATGGGTGCAGTCACCCTGGTTTTGCCCTTTTTTGGGGTGCTTTGGACTTTTTTGGCGCTCTTTTGCCTTTTTTGGGGATATTTTCACCCTGGTTTGGGCTCAGGCACCCTGGGTGCCTTAGCTTTTTTTTTGGGGGGTGCTTTTGCCTTTTTTGGGGTGCTGGCACTGCTTTCTGGGTGCTTTATTTCTGGTTTTGGGGTGTTTTCACCCTGGTTTGGGTGAATTCACACTGTTCTGAGTGGTTTTGTCCTGTTTTGGGTGGTTTTGTCCTTTTTTGGGTGATTTTGCCCTTATTTTGGGTGGTTTTGCCCTGTTTTGGGTGCGCTCGCTCTTTTCTGGGTGCTCTCACCCTGGTTTGGGGTGCTCTCACGCCAGTTTGGGGGTGCTTTCACCCCGTTCTGGGTGGTTTTGTCATGTTTTGGGGTGTTTTCACCTTGTTTTGTGTGCATTTGCCCCGTTTTGGGTCCTTTCGCCCCGTTTTGGGTCCTTTAAGCCTTTTCCTGGGTGCTTGCGCCCTCCTCTGGGTGCTTCCACCCTGCTTTGGGTGCATTCACCCAGTTTTTGATACTTCCACCCTGTTTTGGGTGCATTCAATCAGTTTTGGGTGCTTCCACCCTTGTTTAGGTGAATTTGCTCTGGTTTTAGGTGCAGATGCCCTTTTCTGGGTGCATTTGCTCCGATTTTGGGTGCTTTCACCCTGTTTTGGGTGCTTTCACCCTGTTTTGGGTGCTTTCACTC